GGGCGGGGCGGGGCGGGGCGGGACGCTGGGTCGACTCGCGGCGAGCGGCGGGGCCCACGAGCAATTTGCCAGCTGGGCGCGGTTTTCGGGCCAGAGGGCCGGACGCAGGGTGGGGGGACCGGCTGGACAGACGGCACGCAGGATCGACGCGTGGAAAGAAGGAGCAGCAGTGCTCAAACCCACGGGCCGCCGCCGCGAGCCCCGCAAACCCTCGCTTTCCCGCCGTCTCACCCGCGTTTGGCCGCGCGTGCGCAAACTCCCCCCAACCGCAGAAGCTCCGGTGAAAGTAGCGGGCCCTGTTCTCCGGAGACTTCATGAACTGGGCGTGAGTCATGGGCGTGAAGCCTGGCGGGTGCAGGGGAGCGGGGCGTGGCAGAGCGGGGGAGGGCAATCGGTTTCGAGGCGGGCGAAGCGGGGCTGCACTGTGATTCTGGAGGCGCGCTGCTGGACACACAGCGAAGAGGCGCAGACGCCCGCTGCGTGGCAGCCGGGAGACGCGGAGGGCTGGGCGCCGCGCGCGCGCGACGCGCCGCCGCAGGCCCGGAACGCCGCAGGGGCCGCGGCCGCACCCGTCGTGTATGCGCCCGTTGGGCCCCTGTAATCCGGGATGTTGCTCTCCGTTGAAACACCCGCCCCAGTGATTGCCAGCACGCGCCTGCGCCGCAAAGGACCAGCCGTAAGAGCAGCAGCTATTCAAATCGTGCCGTGGCGGAGGCGCCGCTGTCGTGCCTCTTGCCCCACACACCAGGCGACCTCGCTGCGGCCTGCTCCTTGAAGGGCATGGTCGTGGGTGTGTGAAGGAGAGGGGCAGGATCGACTGCCGCTCCTCACCTGCTGTTGACTATGAGATCCACCAGCTCCTCCAGGCGCTCCTGCGGCAGGGGCGCCGCGATCGGCGCCGCCGCTGCCAGCCCTGGCGGTCTCTGCCGCTGCTGCGGGTGCTCCTGCTGCTGCTGCTGTTGCTGCTCTAGAAATGGCTCCGGTGCATCCCGCCCCTTCTCCCGCTGCACTTGCTGCCGCGCGTAGGCGCTACTTGCTATCTGCAAGCTGCCGTCAGCCAAGATCCGCTCGCGATGGTGTGCGATGCCGCCCGCAGTGTTGCCGTCTGCTGTGTCTGGTGCAGGGAGTTCATGCTGCACGACCGCTGCGTCGGAAGCCACAGCTGGCTGTGCATGCGCGTGCGCCTGCCGTATAGTTGTGCGTCGCCATGCCAATACTCGCCGGGCAGCGGACCCGCCAGAGACGCGCATTATGTATGGACAGAGCTGCAGACCGCGACCCTGACCTCGAACGGTGTTCCGCTCTACTATTACATATATATTGGGGCTTGACAGGCTTCATCGGTTAGGTAGGACCGCCCAAAACGATGTTCGAACACTTGACCAGTGTCACTCGTGGTGTCACCCGTGCAGTTTCGTGCACGGGGAATACATGGTCGTGTGCGCCAGCATTGAAAGGGTAGTGATTGCTGTAAGCATAACGATGAGCTGCAGATCATACCTTCACCCGTCCCCTGAATCGCACCTTCATGCTTTCACTCCGACATGCATCCAGGCTGTGCAGGAGCCTTGGATCGCGCGTCGGCGGCAGCTATATAGTCGAATGTCTCGGGGGCAGACATCAAGCAGCATTACGAGCGGGAGCGCAACTGCGGCCCCGCCAGGGCATTGCAACTAGGTGAGGTGGACAGGGCAGGGTGCGAGTGAGCGTCGCCGCATCAACGATGCGACCCAACGCCCCCGACGCATGCAGGCGGCCCTCCTCCAGCGCGGCAGCCATGGAGCAGTCCGGGGCGCCGGGTGAGCGACAACAGGCGGGGAGCGGCAGGGAAGGCGCTGCTGTGTCACCCTGTACCCCACAAGCGGCCACGAGCATCAAAACCCAACCGCCCCTTTTGTCTTCACCACAGCATCAAATCCACAAGCAAGGTGAAACATACAGCACCACATTGCACACCTCAAACACTCGCGCTCAATCGGCAAGCCGGCGCAGCCCAGCCCCACCCCCGCGCATGCGCGAACCCCGCCAGGCCGCTTCCTGTTTTCCTCCGAGAGCGTCAGCGAGGGCCACCCTGACAAGCTCTGCGACGCCGTGAGCGATGCGGTGCTGGACGCCTGCCTCATGCAGGACCCCGCCAGCAAGGTGCGCACGCGCTGCGCCCCGCACGCTCGCTCGCCGGGCGCGTGCCTTTCCAACAAAGTGTGTGCGTACGTCGCGCGCGTTCAAGCTTACCCGCCAGCTCTGGGTCGCTGCGGGGCATCGCGGGCGCAGCCACTTGTTGGCGGCCGGGCCCGTCGCTGTGCAATTTCCGGGGCCGGGCGCCGCAGAGCCTGCCGCGATGCCTCGTCACTGCTGCCAGGTGGCGTGCGAGGCGGCAGTCAAGGACAACTTCCTGATGGTGTTCGGAGAGGTGCGCAGGCAAGGCGGGGAAGTGGGGGATGAGCGGCTCAGGGGAAAGCAGCAGACCAGGCTGGCCAACAAATGGGCTTGGTGTCCAGAGGCCGACCTGCACCCCATGGCACAGCTTCTGTGGACGCGGCAGCCTGAGCATGCAGCTCATGGGCGTTCGCAGGTGCCCGGAGCGCGGCTGCCGACGCCGCCAGCGCGCGGCTGCCGACGCCGTCGGCGCGCAGCCGCCTACTCTCAGCAGCACGCGCGGTAGAGCTTATGGCTGGCTCACGGCAAACCCTGCCGCGCGTCCCCCCGTGTGGCGCCCCCGACACCGCCTCAGGTGACCACTCACGCCAAGGTTGACTACGAGGCGGTCGCGCGGCAGGCGGTGCGGGATGCGGGTTACACCAGTGACGCCTTGGGGTTCAACGCCGAAACTGCAGAGGTCAAGGTGGGGGGGGGGCAGGGGGTGCGTCGGCCCGGCCACAACCAGCCGTCATCTCGAGGCGTCCCGCTCTGTGCAGCTGCAAGGCCGCCACCTGCGGCTGCTTGTCGTGCCACGGCGGGCGTGCCCGGCGCCACTGCCTCGGTTTCAGCACGCCGCCGTGCATACACCTGGGGGCGACCAGGCTGCCTCGTGAAGCTGCTCACTCAGCGTTTTCTAAAACCGCCTTGCAGGTGCTAATAGACCAGCAGAGCCCTGAAATTGCGCAGGTGAGCAGGCCGGCACGCTCCCGCGCCGGCGCGGGCACCGCACGGCGCTGCCGCGGGCACCGCGGGGCGCTGCCGCGCGGCGACCCACAGGCTCTCCAGGGTCTGCAGGGCTCAGCAAGCGGGCCGCCTCTCGCAGCCCGGCGCAAACAGCGCCCGGCGCGGCGCGCCGAAACGGGCCGCGATGACCGCGTCCGCCCCCGCTCCCCTACCTGCGCAGAGCGTGCATGGCATGGGGTCGCGGCGGCTGGAGGAGCTGGGGGCGGGGGACCAGGGCATCATGTTTGGCTACGCCACCGATGAGACGCCAGAGCTCATGCCCCTCACACACTGCCTCGCGTCCAGGCTGGTGCGCGTCCGTGTGTTTTCACACGCGCACACGCCATGCTCCGGCCGCAAGTTTGCGATGCAATGCTGGGCTGCAGAGCCTTCTATTGAGGCCAGGCGTCTGAGCCGTGGCAAGGTGCCCAGCGCCCGTGTGCATGTGGTTCAAGCCTGAGTGTCGGCGGGCTGCGGGCTGCGCCACGCTTGTCGGTTGCCAGTGGCTCCTCGACTGCCGCTCGCGGGTCCAGCCGGATTGACCGGCAGCGCGCGCCGCGCCCCCCAGGCTCAGCGGCTGGCAGAGGTGCGGAAAGACGGCACGTGTCCCTGGCTGCGACCAGACGGCAAAACACAGGCGAGCGGCACGCACTCGTTTGGCCGGGGGGGGGGGGGAGGCAGGTCGAATCTTTCCTGGCCAGGACAGATTCGCAAAATCCACCCCCTGGTTGATGTGTCGCAAAGCCCCCTCCTGTCGATAGGGCATGGGGCGGGCCACCGCTAGCGCAGCCGACCTGCCCAGAGCCATGATCCTGTGCACCACTGCCTGGCGGGCCGACTGCCGTGGGACCATGTCGCCTGCACACCCACGCCGCGGGTTTGCAAAAAGCGCCTCCCGGCGGCCGCTGCAACCACCCGCTGGCCCAAAGGCGCTGCGAGCCACAGACTCGCGCCGCTGATGGGCCCCAGCAACCCCCCGCCTGCCCGGCTCTGCCGCCCAACCCCCTTTCCTCAAGCCCAAACCCACCCCACCTCACCCCGATGACGTCATCACCCAGGTCACCGTGGAGTACCAGCGCGAGGGTGGCGCCGTCGTGCCCATCCACCTGCACACCCTCCTCATCTCTGCGCACCACGCGCCGGGCGTGGCACAAGATCACCTGAGGGATGAGCTCATGCGGCATGTGGTCGATCCCGTGGTTCCGAAGCACCTGGTGCACGGCAACGGCCGCCACGGCGAGACGCGTTTCCTGCTGAACCCGAGCGGCAGCTTCACGGTCGGCGGCCCCGCGGCGGACGCCGGGCTGACGGGGCGCAAGAGTGGGTCGTGGGGGGCGGGGCCGCGCGCCTGGGGCGCAGGCGGGCGCGCCGGGCCGGGGACGAGCAGTTGTCCGTCGTCAAACGTGGCCGCGCGGGCTGCGGGCGCCCTCGCCGCGCGGCGGCCCGGGTTGCGGGGACGGCGGGGCGGTTTCTGCCGGCGGGTCGCGGGCACTGACGCCGCGGCGCGCTGGAGGGCGGGAGCGGTCTGGGCGCGACGTGCCCTCAGCCGCTCTGCGCACCGCAGGCGGGCTCGCAGCGCGCGCCGGCCCGACACCTCATTGCGTCACCCTCCCCAGAGGCGAGCGATCAAGGGACGTTGTTCAGATATCAATCATGATCCGGAACACCCTCCCTTCCACGCGCGCTGGCTGCAGTCATCGTTGACACCTACGGCGGCTGGGGCGCCCACGGCGGTGGCGCGTTCAGTGGCAAGGACCCCACCAAGGTGCGCCCCCGCCTTCCGGCCGGCCAGCCCCTCATGCTGCCGCCGCCATCGCAGACCTGCCAACTCCATGTGGCTCGGACCCTCGTCCGCCGCGTAATTCTTGGATGCAACCTGCCCGCGGCGCGTTGCGTCCCCGCGTGCAGGCCGCGACAAGCAGCGCGCGCAAAGCCCGCATCCAGCAACCCGAAAACGCCTCGCCGCGGCCCGCAGCCCGCGGCCAGCGCCCTGTTCCCCCCATCCGCGCCGCAGGTCGACCGCAGCGCAGCCTACGCCGCGCGGCAGGCGGCCAAGAGCGTCGTCGCCTCCGGCCTCGCACGCCGCTGCCTGCTGCAGCTGGCCTACTCCATCGGCGTCGCGGAGCCGCTGTCGGTGCATGTGGACACGTACGGCACGGGGGCGGCCTCGGACGAGCAGATCGCGGCGGCCGTCATGCGAGGTGGGAGATGACGGGGACGATGAGCGCGAGCCGTGACACGCACGCGTGGCGCCGTTGTGGGTGGGTGGTCGAGGGGCCGGAGCCCCGGCTGCGAAGTCGGCCTGGAGCCGCCAGGACGATTGTGATGCAGCGGCTTGACGCAGCAGGCGCGCCATCGCCGGCGCCCGCGGCAATGCGCTCTCCCCCTCCTGCACTTGCGCCCCTGCGCGCCGCGTTCGCTCCGCCTGTCTCGCCGCCCCTCAGGCTTCAACTTCCGGCCGGGGTTCATCATCCGTGATCTGGATCTCCAGCGAGTGGAGAGCGGCAGCAAGCGCTACCAGGACACGGCCGCCTACGGCCACTTTGGCCGCCCAAATAATGGCGTGTTTACTTGGGAAGCTCCCAAGCAGCTGAGCCTGTAGTGATGCATGGCCGCGACGCTGGTGGAGGCGTGACGGCTCTCCCTGTGCCGGCGTGGGCGCGCCCTGGGGTCGGCCGACGGCGCGCTTGTCGCTGTGGCTTCGACCGTCGCGGCATGGAGCGCCGTCGGCCGCCGGCGCGTGGACGGGCGGGGTGGGGGCTGCGGTTCAAGTGTCACCCGGGCTGTGGTGCCGTGGGCTGTGAAGGCGCACTCGCGCCCAGCCAGTATGCTGGCCAGGAAGCTTAGCCCCCGGCGGCAAGGAACCACTGCTGCTGCATCTATGGCAGGCTGCGGTGTAATATTTTGACTTGTAGTGCGAGCAGGTGGATGCGCTGACGTGAGGGGCGCAAGCCGCGCTGTGGGGCTGGTGTGGCCTCAGCGCTGCCCATCAGCAGAGCATCTGGCAGCGCTTTTAGGATGCAAGCATGCCCTCGATGCACCCCAAGATCCAAGACTGTACAGTAACACGCTCTGGGCACAATTTGAGGCCCATCAGGTGAAAACAGGCCATCTGCAGCCCGCGGGTGAAGTACAGCATGTGAGATGACCCAGCACACCGGACGACCGGAGTTCCACTGGCCAGGACGGGGTAGCTGCCCGCTATGACAGGCGACGCGGTGTTGCCGTGTCAAATATAATTTTGATGGATTCCGAGCGCTTGGACGCCGGCAGTTACGCGCAGCCTCACCGGGGTTCGTAGAAATCGACCAAGTTCATGGGCAACGGCCGCTAGTGCTTGGGGACCACCGCTGGCCTTTGGGTGCTTGAGAAATCAGAAAAACTACTAAAATGTTTATACATGTGTCCAGCTGTCACTCACACCACACCAGACACGGAGCACTACCTTGCAACGACGCCCAGTGTGTACACTGGTGACAACGCAAGAACTCCAGGCGAAGGCCAACAGAATACTCAACGTAGTTTATTTTGCACATACTCGACAGCGTTTGAGTCCTTGGTGCTCGCCCGGCCTCCACACAAGGTGCACCTGCTTGGCAGTGGTGCATTCATTGCCTTCGGCCCTCTCAGCCGCTCTGAGAGTCCCAAAGTTTCTTGATAGTACATCAATTGTGGTTGCGATGACGGGAGGTCCTGCAGAGGGCCCCAAGGGCCGCGCACTAAGCATCCAATCCCGGGACACACAGCTGCCCGAGGTCGTTCAATGGGGTTTGCGATTCGCAGCAGGCCTGAGCATCCTGGTCAACATCGAGGTGCGTTGCTGGCTGGCTTCGGCTCGTGGCTAGGCCACGCCGCGCTGCAGGTGGCACCGAGTGATGCCGTGCCGCGCATTGGGTGACGCCAAGTGGCGCATTCTCGCGCTGCCTGGCCTTGCGCGCCTCGTCCCAGTCCCCTCCCTCCCTGACGCCCCCAAACTTTCATCACCATCCCAATTGCCCCTGCAGCTGCTGTCTGGGGTCGCATTTGCCATCAAGGGCACCCGCGCCCTGCTCGGCCTCCCTGAGCCAGGCGTCCCCCGCCGCGCGGCCTTCCGGCTCGACCCGCGGCCCGCCTGCGACACCGCGCCCACCAAGGAGGACGACGCCTCTGAATCCTCTGACGGCGCTTCTGACAGCGACGACTCCCAGCCGCGCGCGGCCGCGTCCATTTACATCGACATCGCGGCGTCGCCGCTCGCCAAGGCCAAGGGCGAGCTGGCGCCGCCCAGCCCTGGGGCGCCAAGGCTGATTGAGGTCGAGCACATCAAAGTTGACGCTGCCCAGGGTGAGCGCAGCAGCCTGACAGCCCTCAGTTGCGGGCGCAGGGGTTTCTAGTGTCCGGGGACGGCGTGCGCAGGGTGCGTTGGGGTTGGGGGATGGCGAGGCGGCACCCAAGGAGGGTGACAGTTGCGCTTGGGTGACGCTGCAATGCCAGTCAGCCGCGTGGCGGGACTGCGTTGAGAGCGTGCAGGGGAGTGCAGGGCGGCGCGTCGCGGCTCACTTGTAGCGTTCGGCGCTGCAAGGCCGACTTGCGGGCTGCAGCGTCACGGTGGCCTCCGCCTGCTGGGCAGCCCGGCCGCAAAGCCGCTCGCCTGACGCTCCAGTCAAGCGAGGCGCAGCCAGTCATTGTCCAGCAAACCGTTTCGGGGTGGGGGGCGCCCGTACTTCTGGCTGCCTTCACAAGTGCAGCCGCCCACCCTCCCGACGAACGCAGGCGCGGACTCTGAGGCCTGGCGGGTCATCGGCCCCTACATGCGGCTCTATGGCAGCGGCGCCCTCTCCAGCTCCACCCTGTGGAACCCCGAGTTCACCCACATGTTTGTCCCTGGGGTCGGCAGCCAGGCCTACTTTATCGGCCAGGCCTACAACCGCACCATCGTCGTCGGCATCAACGACCCCCTGGCGCACCCCGACCACTGGGCAGAGATGGCGGCCACTTTCAGCCGCGTGTTCCCTGGGGCGACCTACACGCACGTCGGCCCGCGGTTCGCCCAGGTGCTCAAGGACACCCAGGGTTACACCATCAACGACGCCGGGGCAGAGACAAACATCCAGGTCCAAAAATTCAACTACTCGAAGCGCACGCGCACCATCCGCAACGGCGCGCGGGACGCGAGGGCAGCGGGCGTGTCGGTGCGGGAGCTGCGGGCGGCGGACCTCACCCCTGAGACGTGTCAGCAGCTGAAGGCGGTGACGGGTGCGTGGGTGATCGGGGGCTGCGGGGCCTTCCCCGTGGCGGGAAGGACGACAGGGGTTTTGGCTAGTTGGCTGAGGACCAGAGGAAGTGTGTGTCTTGGGGCGCTTTGCTGGCTGTGGGGTGGGCGCCGGCTTCAGGACAGGCAACAGCAACAAGTCTGGGGCCCGCCTGCCAACCAAACGCCTGGGTATCGAATATGGGTCTAGGGGTGCTGCTGTACCTGATCAGCAGGACGCTGGCGATTTACGAGTTTTGCCAGGCATCTGCTCTGGCATTGCACAAAACTTGCGCCGCCTCTGCGACACTATGAAGAAACCCCCGCCCCCGCCGGCCCCGCAGGCGACTGGCTGGAGCTCAAGACCGTCAAGGAGGAGGGCATGCGCGTCTACATCCGCCACATCGACTACGACAACCTGCAGCTGGCGGAGGGGGTGCGCCTGTTCGTGGCAGAGGCGCCCAGCGGTGCCGACGCTGTTGCTAACTGCGCGGCGCCCAAGACGGTGTGCGGTTTCGTGCTGGTGGACCCGATGTTCCGCGACGGGGCTGTGTACGGCTACGTCACCAGCGTCAACCGCATGCTGCGGGGCAGCCACCCAGGTGGGCGGCTCGGCAACCGGGGACGCGTTGCTGGGGCGGGGCGGGACTGACTTCCACTGGGATCCAGCCAATATCGTGCTTTCGACAGGGGTGACATGTGTACGCAGAGCCCCTCCAAGCATCGTTTTGGGGAGCAAACAGCCAAGGCCTGCCAACAAAGGTGCAGATTGCAGCCAATCAGTGCACCACACAACCTTACAGATTGCAGCGCATGCTGATGCCTGCACCTTCGCACCGACACGCCCCCTCCCAAACGCCAGGCGTGCTGAAGCTGATGTACGATGACATTATGTCCGTCATGAAGAGGGAGGGCAAGGAGGTGCTGACGTTTGGCTTCAGCCCCTTTTTCAACGTGCAGAAGACCCCCTTCTGCGGCGCCTGGTGGGCGGAGCTGTCCATGAGGTTCTGCTTCCACTTTGCCAACAGCCTCTACGGGTTCAAGAACCTCGCATTCAGCAAGGCCAGGTGCGCGGGGGCAGGGACGCGCGCCCCAGGGTGCTGACAGCACACAAGGGCCGGGGACGAGGGCGCGGCGATCGGGAGCGCATGTGGGCCAGGCCTGGGCGCCCGGCAAGCAGAGCTTTGGGGTTTCGCGGGGCCAGCCTGGGCCTGGGCTGCTGCAGAAGGCGCTGTGGCCAGGCTGCAGTCCAGGCCTGAGCTGCCCAGCCGCGGATCAGTGGAGGTGGAGCACGGCGGTGCGGTCTGTAAATGTTGCAGATGCACCTGGGCACCCCATACGCAGCTGTCCATGACCCACAGCTGCAGCAGCGCCCGCGGTGGCGGTGTCGCTGCGCGCCTGAACCCCAGCGACTTGCGGTGCGCCGCCCCACCGCAACGCGCCCCGCCCCACCACAACGCACCCGGCCCCAACCCTGTCAGGTACGGCGGCGGCGTGGTGGGTGACGCGTACCACGACCCCAACGTCACCATGAGTCACGTCTACGGCGCCACTTGGGCGAAGGCCGTCCCCGACATGGCCCTGCTGGACAATTATATCCTCATGATGACCACAGGCTTCACAGGCAACGCCGTGGACGCCTTCTTCAAGCTCGCCCGCTGGAGCGCCAAGCCCAAGGGCGCGGCGCCCGGCGCAGACGGCGACACACCCGCCAGCGACGGCAGCAGCAGCAGCGGCGGCAGCAGCAGCAGCGGGGCATCGAAAGCGTCGTCGGTGGCGCCGTCCTCGCGCGCGCCTTCCGAGGCGCCGTCGCGGCCGGGGAGCGCCGCTTCGGTCGCGTCGCTGGGCGGCGCGGAACGCGCTGCCTAAGGCCAGGAATGAGAAACGGGTCGCCGCGCAGCGCATGCCGACAGGTCTTGAGGCATGGCGGCGGTGGCGGCGGCTGTGACAGCACCAGATTGCGGCCCGCGGTGGCATGGGGTGAGCAGAGCGGCCGGGCCGGACGCTTGGCGCTCGCAAGGGGTGCCGCCGCCGTGCCGTGAGCCTCGGCTCTGTGCGCCGCGCGGTGGCCCGGCTGACCCACGTTTCAGGGTCGCTCACGCTGGCAGCCCAGCCCAGCTGCAGAGGCCCTTATTACAAAGCCGCTGCAGCAGTGGCCGGGCCGAGGCAGACCGCACACCTTCAGGGGCGATCAGCGTCGAAAGTGGGCGGCGCTCCGCACCGGTGTGCCCTGGGATTTCACAATTGATACATATGGCGGCAATAAATGGGGAGCCCTGTTCACGGCGCTTCCTTTCCATATTTGTTGGACGATGCCCGCACCGGTGGGGCAACCATTCGGCCGCCGCATTCTGAATTGTGTGTTTGTCCCCCAAGAGGCGGCCTCTGCCCGCTGCCCTGAGTAGGAGTCGGCAGATGGTGGCTTAATAGCAGGTCCACAAGAGGGACTGGATGTCTGCGCCGCAGTCTGTGTGGCCACGTTTGCACAGCCTGTTTACTCGCTCCTCATTGTGGTGCCTTGGGGGTTCCCGCGCATTCTCTTGTTTTTTCGCACCGTCAATTTGGTCAAACGGTCTCGCAGCGCTTGTCGCCTGTGGGGCTGTGTGCACCCTGGGATCTGGGAAGCTTGTCCCCGCTCGGTTCACCGCGGCTGGCGCGCGCGGCGGGGTAGGCATTGCAACCAAGCCCCAGCGCCGGCTGAGGGTGAGGGTGAGCTGGAACTTACGATTGGCGCGGTGCTGTGCCGCCGCCCATCACCCCCGCAGGCGTGCGGATGTGCACATTTCCCACTACACGTTACGCGCCTCCCCTCTTTTGCCACCCTTTCGCTGCTGGTGCTGCCGCTGCTGCTCTTGCTGCTGCTGTCGCTGCCTTGCTGATGGTGCAGCCACCAGCAACGCCGTCTCCGGCAAAGGGCAGCGCCCCTCCTGCCTTTGGCGCAGCTGCCTGTCAGACCGCTGCAACCTCGTGGTGGCACTCCATCCGCCCGGGGATCCCTCGGGTGCAGCAGCACCCAGCGCTCCCTCACCGCCCCTCTTTTTCCACAAAGGCCGTTGGCACTCGGCCACATGCTGGCGCCTGACACTACGCGCTGCGTGTGCTTTGGGGTGCAATGTGCAAACCCACCATTTGTTTCTTGGGGCCGGCGCGGGGTCGCCAGGCGCTGTGTTTGCAGTGGGTTCAGCCATCAGGGCGGAGGGTGGCTCCGCAACACCCACAGCAAGTGCATCATGTGCATGCGTAGCATTTCTAACGCACCTCACCGCCAGGGCGGTCCCCCAGCCGCGAACGAATCGGCAAACACATCAAGTGTCAAGCCATGCCTGGCCCATGCACCCCTTGGACCTTGTGCCGTTGACAACCACATTTGCTCTCACAACATGTCCGCTACTCAAAACCCTGAGGTCGCACCAAACAAGCCCTCTCACACTGTAACTTCCCAGTCAGACTCGCGCGCCGGCAAACGCCGCTCAGGGGGTGCACACAGAGTACAGAGTCGCGCACAACGAGGGATGGGGTAAAATTCTGTGTGTTTGCGCATGCAGCCAAGCCGGCTGACTTGCTGACAGGCATTTGAACGTACCCTCTCGAAGATTTGGGATTAAGCCTGAGGTATTTGGGACGAACGGCTCATGATGGGACGCGGCGGTTGATGACGAGCCGGCGTGAAGGCGCGAGCCGCCAGCATGCACACTCGCAGCCGCACTACTCAGCTCGCGAGCTCAGGGAGGCATGCTCGTTGCTGCCTGGCACCTCGCACTGCGCTCACGAATGTATTGAAACCAAGGCTCACCCTTTCAAAGTCTCAACTGCAAACATGGGGGTGCAGGTACCCCGTGAGCCTACACCAGGCCCACTGGCGTCACCTGCTCGCGGTAACCACCTATGTGTCGGCACTCGTCAGTCGCCAATGCACCAATAATACACCGATACATGAATTGAGTTGATAATAATGCGCTGCATTCAGCCCACGCACGTGACGGCTTCAGGCAGCCAGTCGGTTGGTGATCCGTAGATCGCATTTTGCGTGGGATCTTGGCGTAGCCAGGACGGTTGCCGGCGTGTATGAGCATTTGAATCCGTTCGGGCACACCGTTACGGATGGCACCCACGGCAGGGCGTGGCAGCCGACGCGCGCGCAGACAGGCTATGTCACCATGGGTGCAGGCGGGCATGCGCGTAGCCGTCGGAGGCCTGGCGGTCGCCGCAATCATCGTAAGCCGCCCCATCACAATTTGGAATGCGGTAGACCCTGATACCTGCTTGCATGGTGGCCCCGTCCCTGTGCAAGCTGGGTCGCCTCACCGGCGCCCTCCGTCCCACCAGGCATCAATCAACCCGCTAGCGCACACCCCCAGACAGAGATCAGCAGTCCCTAACCCGCTGACACGGCCTCAAACCCCCCACATGCACTGACAAACCTCCAGATATGGTCGTGGGCCGCCTTCCTGATCGCCGTCGTCAGGCGTCTCAAAGGACAGCCTGATCCAGCTGCGCCGCGCCCCGCGAACTTCCACCCGCCACCCCAGCCGGCCACCGGCGGCCAGGGCGGCGGCCGCGGCGTGGCTGAGGCCGCGGGCAAGCCGGCAGCCTTGGAGGGTGGCGTCAGGGCAGTGATCAAAATCAATGCCGCCACGTTTGAGGCGCGGGAAGAAGCCGCCGGCCCAGGCCTGCCGCCCAGCGGCCGGGACACCAACGGCCGTCGGGGGGATCAGCGCGCGGCGCAGCAGTGCCAGGAGCCGCAGCGGTCGCCGCCGCAGCAGCCGCTGCTGCAGCAGGCGCAGTGCGTGGAGGAGGGCACGGGCGTGGTCCCGGTAGGGGTTCTGTGCGAAGATCTGGAGGGATGCGCTGGCGTTGCCTCGCGTCAGATCGAGGCAGTCCATGTGCCAGTGGAGCCCAAGCACGGTGACTGGGCGCGACAATGCTGCGTGCAAAGGGGCCAGAGGCATGGGCTGGCACAGTGCGCCCACGATGCTATGTGTCTTCCAGGGCGGTAGTCCAGCCAGACCCTCTCCGCGCCCCTGGGGTGCTTTGGAAAATCTTGGCCTCCCAAACTCTTCCCCATACGGCTGTCCAGGTGCTGTTCTCACATGACAGGAACCCCTCACCACCTCAAACCCTGTTCTGTGTGCAGGCGCCAACTCAGAGGCCTGGCGGGTCATCGGCCCCTACATGCGGCTCTACGGCAGCGGCGCTCTCTCCAGCTCCACCCTGTGGAACCCCGAGTTCACCCACATGTTCGTCCCTGGGGTCGGCAGCCAGGCCTACTTCATCGGCCAGGCCTACAACCGCACCATCGTCGTCGGTATCAACAACCCCCTCGCGCACCCCGACCACTGGGCAGAGATGGCAGCCACTTTTGTCAGGGCCTTCCCAGCAGCGATCTTCTCCCACATCGGCCCGCGGTTTGCCCAGGTGCTCAAGGACACTCAGGGCTACACCATCAACGATTGCGGCGCCGAAACCAGCATCCAGGTCCAGAAGTTCAGCTACTCCAAGCGCACGCGCACCATCCGCAATGGCGTGCGGGACGCAACGGCAGCAGGCGTGGTTGTGCGGGAGCTGCTGCCCGCTGACGTCACCACAGGCATCATGCAGCAGCTGCTGGCTGTCACGGGTGCGCGGGTTCTGGCTGGGTGGGTTCCACAACCAGCCTTCAACCAGGGGCTGCTACGCTCGACAACCACCAGCTGCTGGGATCCCCATGAACAACTGAGGTTTCTGTCTGGGGCAGTCGACTCTGTGTTGAATTAGTATTATCTGGTCTCACAATTGACTCACGCCCCCGGCAGCTGGCCGCATACATGCCGCAATAGACCTGAAACGCCTCCTCTTCCGTTGTCGGCCCCCACTCCCGCCTCCAGGGGATTGGCTGGAGCAGAAGCGCGTGAGCGACAAAGTTATGCGCGTCTACATCCGCCACATCGACTATGACAACCTGCAGCTGGCGGAGGGGGTGCGCCTGTTCGTGGCAGAGGCGCCCAGCGGCGCCGACGCTGTTGCTAACGGCGCGGCGCCCAAGACGGTGTGCGGCTTTGTACTGGTGGACCCAATGTTCCGGGACGGGGCTGTGTACGGCTACGTCACCAGTGTCAACCGCATGTTGCGTGGCAGCCACCCAGGTGGGCGGTCCCGCAGGGGCGGGAGGCGTTGTTTGGGTGGGTGCGTAGGCTTGAAAAACTGGCGATCACGACAAGCTGTGCGTGAGCTACAAATTCACACATGGGGCAGGCAGGAGTGCACGGGGCATGCTGCCTGTATCGGACGCGCTGCTGCATTCCTACACCAACCCATGCCGCCAGGTTCCGTCCCAGCTGTTCCGTCTGCGCCTGGTCCTCACCTCGCTCCCTTTAGCCTTGGAGCGCCACCCTTACACCGCCGGTGTAGTCTGGTCCTGTACCCAGCAGGTCGCCTGCTGACACAGTGAGGCTTGCACCTCCCCGTCCCGCCCCTGGGCCCCTCCCCCTCCAGGCGTGCTGAAGCTGATGTACAATGACATCATGGCCTTCATGAAGAGGGAGGGCAAGGAGGTGCTGACGTTCGGCTTCAGCCCCTTTTTCAACGTGCAGAAGACCCCCTTCTGCGGCCCCTGGTGGATGGAACTGTCTGTGCGCTACTTCTACGAGCACTGCACACCCCTGTACGAGTTCAAGAACCTCGCCTTCAGCAAGGCCAGGTCAGCAAGGGCGTGGTCCTGCATCATGCTGTAATGGGGCCTGGAATCAAAAGCGCCTTGTGCGTCCCGGCCCCGCAGCGCGTGGGCTCCGCTTGCAGCAGACGTCGTGTCCGCGTGCGGTGCTGTTGACAGGCCCTGCACTGCCCTCCAGTGCGTGCCAATGCTCCTAGCCATCGAGCAGACCTGCTCACCCCTTGTGCCGCACTCGCGCGCCCTCGCTGTCTCGGTTGCAAAATTTTCAGGTACGGCGGCGGCGTGGTGGGTGACGCGTACCACGACCCAAACGTCACCATGACCCACGTCTACGGCGCCTCTCGCGCCGCCTTCCTCCCGGGCATGGCCCTGCTGGACAACTGGGTGCTGCTCATGACGTCAGGCATCGTCAGCAGCGCATTGGAGACGTTCCTGAAAGTGCTCGGGCTGCGCAGGCACGTGGGGCCACCCGGCGTCGAGGGCAATGCCTGTCCTGCCTTGCGCGGCGCCGCGAGCGCGGCGTCGCTGACGTCACTGGGCTCGCTGACGTCACTGGCCAGCTCCGGTGGGGGTTGGTTGCCGGGTGCAGAGAGCGGCTGCAGGCGGATCAGCAGCGGCGGGCCACCGTCGCCCAGGATAGCAGCCTGAGGGGGGTGCTGGGGCAAGTGGATGCACCCTTGCTCGCGTGCCAAGGATTGTAGTGCTGGCGCGCAATTGATGCTGCTGTTCCCGAATGATATTTCAAAAGCAGGATATCTGTTGGTTTTTTGTTGGTCCGATTCAGGGGCTACATATCGGCTCCATTAGTTTTTTTACAGTGCTAGGTTTAGACAGGCTGCCAGGCTAGTCGGAAATTGCATATGTTGCTTGGCGCAGTGCGCATGCACGCAACCCAGCTGCGTGGTCGGCACATTCTTTATTGGTGGGTACTGCTTGCAGGAAAAGCTTGCTTGATGGGGCGATTTCAATGTTTTGGAAAACCTGACATTGATTCTACCAGCAAGCTTGCGCTGAGCTGTTCAGAGGGAAGATGCCCATCTTCCCGCCAACAAGCTCTTGACGCGCTGCTTGATCCCTGCCTGGCCACTACTGCATGCCATTGCTGTGACGGCTGCTGTTGTCACCCTGGTGGGCAAGCCCTCAGGGTGACGTTTTGAACGTCAGTCAGCCAGCCCTATTGTTCAATCACAAGGGCCTTGTTGGCGTCCGCCCCACTGCATTTGCCTCCTTCGGAGCCGAGCGCACATTTGGCCCCCCTTACTTGTCAGGCGGGCCGGCGCACCATATCACTTGCGCAAAACGCCGCTTCTTCCCTGCATGTTTGCAGGGGTCGTGCAGGTGGGGGTATGCGTCCCGCCTGCTCCGCACTCGGCACTTGACAAGGGTCGTGTAGGCCTCGCATCCAGCATACCGGTACGCTGCTTGGAATCCAACGCTTCTCCTGTCGCAACCCTCCCATGACTGGTGATGTTGACAAACCCTGAAGGATGTCGGCCAGGGCGTCGCAAGCGCTCACCCTTCGGTAGGATGCTTTCAACGTCTGTGTCATCATTATAAATCGAATGCCGCAAGCGCTGCTGATGCAGCGCTGCATTGATCTTGGCCAAACGATTGCTGCTGGCAGCGCCCTGTGGCGGCTCCCCAGCAAGACCAGAGGACCCTGCAGACTTTTTATACAGGCTTTGTGCATTGAATATCGCTGGGCGCCACGCTCTGCTGCCACCAAGGCGGCCGCTGGGAACTCCTTTTCATCCGTTCCGTTCTGTGGGGGGTTCACGCACGCCCTCAAGCAGCGGTTTGTGTGCAGGTCCCCACAACTGACACGGCGTACCTTACACCTGTGTCTTGGGCATCCTTATCTACCCTTGTAACTGTCGCTGTCTCTTGCTTAACAATGGGCTTGACCACGTCCCTGCATTACAAAAACGTGGGCGGCATCGGCCTATCACGGCTGGGCCGCAGTCACCGCTGGCGGCAGCAGCGCGGCCGCCACCTCGCTCTCCCGCAGGCCCTGCAGCAGCCGCAGCAGCCGCCACCCCGGCTTCTGCGTCGCCAGCAGGTACTCGCTGTTGCTGGGATTGGCGCGCGCTGCAATGGCGCCGTTGACGAGGCTGATGGCCACTCGGGCGCCCATCAGTGGGCCCAGCATCCGCTGCTCGGCCGGCGTCAAGGGGCCCCCCGCGCCGAGGTAGCCAGCCTGTTTGTGGGGCGGAAGCGGCAGTGTGCAGGTGCACAGATGTGCAACAGCAGCAGCAGCAGCAGCAGCAGCAGCAGCAGCGGCGGCGGCGGCAGCAGCAGCAGCAGCGGCAGCAGCAGCGGCGGCGGCAGCAGCAACAGCCGACATGGAATTTTTTTTCAGGTGCCTGAAGGGCAAGCAGAGCTTGACAATACGCCAGGCCTGTATGCCATCCGCATCCCACGGTGGCAGCCCCATGCCCAGGGCTTGATTTAGTAAGGACGCGCGAAATGCATGCCCGCCCAGGCGCTCGGTACCCACCACAACATTCGCCGCCACTCGCAACGGCGCGTCGAAGGCGCCGCCGCCGCCCCCTTCGACGGCGCCCTCGTGCCTGGCCCCCTCGCCGCCGCCGCCCTCGCCGGCGCCGATCTCGTGACCGGCCCCCTTGCCGCTGCTGCCGGGCGCGACAGCGCCCTCCTCTTCCCCTTTTCCTGGCCCCTGTGACGCCTCCAACAGGGCTGCATAGGCCGCCGCAACCGCCAGCTCCACCACCCGCCAGCAGTGGGCCGCGTCACCCCAGTCCAAGATCCCCGTCACCTGGGTGACACAAACGCGGGGACGGGTCTCGCCGGTGGGAGCCCCCACTGGACGGCAATTTGCGACGCAGAGGCACCCACACTTACACCCCTGCATGGGGCGTGCTGCTTTCGTGACTGCGACCCCCCTCAACTTGCCAGGTCATTGCAAAACGGCCGTCGGCCGGCGTGGGTGCAGGGGTGTCCAGGGTTGAGGGTTCCGGGTTTGTTGCTGACTTCGCAGCGCAGCCAACCTGGGAGGCGTCTGCGCTTATCAGCAGGTTGTTTTCGTTTGCGTCCGCATGGCAGACCTGGTGGCAGAGGCAGCGGAGGCAGCGTGTGGGAGAAAATCCAAGGGGCCGCGGTTGAGCGCTGCGCAGCGCTGCAATGAAGCGCGCGAGACAGACCGCGGACGAGCGCGGCCGCGGGCGGTGGGCTTGCGTTTGCCGGTGGCTCAGACACCGCATGCTTGCATGGTCAGCGCAGCATGCATGTGCACACGCTTGGGCACTGCCAAGTTGCATTTTCAGGCCGTCAGCCAGCGCCCAGCAATCACGTGGGCCCCTCAACCACCCTCTTACCTGCCGCGGCAGGTCGTCCCCGGAGATGCAAACTGCCCCCTGCAGGCGCGCCGCGGCGCTCTCGATCAGCCGCCTGCGCGGGGACCCATGATTTGAGTGATGCAAGTGGTGGCAGCAGGCACGCCCCCGCTTGCGCCTGCCCACCGGTTGCACTCGGGACCGACGCGGAGGCACGATCAAGGCGCAGCACACGCGCTGGCCTGCATGGGCACGCGACGGCGCCAGCGGCCCCTCACCGCTGCTCCTGGTCAAGCCCCTGCACCAACGGCAGCTTCCTGGTGATGGTGGATGCCGCGCACTCCATGAACCAGTCGTGGGTTTGGTCGTGAAGCGCAGGGTCGTCAAAGCCTGGGCGAGGGTGAGGACAGGCGTAGACCATGCAGCTGTGAGCGCTGGGGGCACTGGCGGGGCACCGCCAGCTCGCCAGTAACAATTGCCTTGAGAAGGTCCAGGCAATTGGCCAGCCGCATGCAGAGCGTCTCGATACATGCATAGCATCAGGAGAGCATGCCCAGCGGCCTGGCCGCATGCAGTGCAGCCCGGCTGCATGCACAGCGGCCCGGCGGAGTGCAAGACTCAGACGCGCAGCACTAAAGCCGTGGGGCTCAGCCGGTGCTCACGGAGCACCTTGCAGCGCAGTGACCAGGTTGGCGATGAAGGCGCCTAAAGCCCGTTGCAGCTCCGGGCCCTGTGCCGAGGGCAGGGCAGGTCAAAGGGGGGACGTAGGGGCGGGGCTTTGGGGGCGGCCGGCGTGTCAAGGCTGCGCCATGCGGTCGGAAGCCTGGCTTTGGGCGCATGCCACCCCTTCGGCTGGAGTGCGCTTCTATCAAATGCAGAGATGATGAAACCCCCCAAAAAAGAACGCAGGTCAGCTGGCCGTTGCTACCATCTCTGACCTGTCATGCGTGGTTGGCACCACAGGCTGGGCCCTGCACCCCACGCACCAGCCGCCGGGGCCCAATGATGTCACCCTCCAGGAAGGTAAGCAGCCGCACGGCGCGCGGGCCGCCGCCGCCCAGCTGGACGGTCGCGATGAACCCGCTGCCGTCCGCAAGGGGCATGGGGGTGTTGGAGCGCACGAGGCCGGCGGCCGCGATGTGCTGCATGACGGCGTTGTGGGCCTGCCGTCGCAGAGCACGCGGGCTAGTCAGCGGCCGCGCGCTCAGTGCTGATCGCAAAGGCGAGAGATCATGGCGCGATCTAGATGGGATCGGCACATGCTAGATTTCCGTGCTTGGCGCTGCTGGTTGCGCACCGCAATGGGCGGTAGGGTCGATCTAGGGGCGACATGGGCTTGGATGCATGGCGACAGCTCCCCTATGGCTCACATGAAATACGGCGCCACTAGCGGCCGAGTCGGCAGCGTTGTGGATCTTCAGGACATACGCGCGTCGCGAGCGTGCATCTGTTACGCGGAAGTTAACGTCATCGTAACCGGCGAGGCGAGAGATGGAGACATGGCTGCCAAGCCGCCGAGCGTCGTCTGTGCCCTGGCCACCAGCAGGTGCAAATGGTTCGAACAACGTGATGAGGTCCAGGGCGCTTTCTGCGGTGATGGCATCCTGCATTGTGACTGTACATAAATTACGAGCTGCGACCAAACATGTGCGTAAGCTACACCTCGCAGACTGTGATCTTGGGAACTGGGTGCACTCAGCTTGCAAATTGGTCAACCTGCAACGCAAGAATCTATGCTGGATAGATTGCAATGTGCTGAATTACAACATACATTGTTTAATTACGCTCAGCAAGCGCAAACTCACCCGCGACACCTCACTTTGGCCGCCTTCACGGAGGGCTGCAACAACGCCAAGGACCTTAGAACCGTGATTCTTAATTGTATCTCATAGCGGATTTTTTGCCGTAGACTGCCAGTACTTTGCCGCGGGCATCACAGCGCCGCCGTCACAGCTCAGCGCCAGCAGCGATGGAGCGGCGAGCAGCGGAAGGTGCGTCAATGGCTGAGGCACGGTCCGCGTCTGTACAAAGATTGCATGCGAACCCCTGGCAGCGGCCATTAGGTGCCGCATGGCCCCTGCTGGCCTGCACCCAGGCGACCGCTCCATGCGCGCGGCCGCGCCCCCCCGGCCCCGGCCCGCAGGCGCGGCAGCGTTGTCACGCTCCGCCAGCCGCGCACGCCGGCGCACGCTGCTCGACGCGATCGCCGCGGACGAGCCGACCCTCTTCCTGCGGCTGCTGGACGGCTCCTCGGTCCCAGCGCACCGGGAGCTGCTGCAGTTTGTGTCGAGCTGCGTCAAGGGCCTGCCACCAGGTGGGCGAGCGCGGGCGATGTGCGGTCATCCCTCTGGGCATGACTGCACTGGTCGATTGCATTATAACCAACACCCCATCAAAGTCAATCAGGGCGCGCACGGTTGACCTGAAGATCAAGACAGCGAAGCCTTGGGGGTTTGCCAGCCATGCTGCGTGCCCCCGCACACCCGCGCTGTGCCGGGGTGTGGCGCCCTGCGGCGCTGAGCGAGCGCCCCGTTGCGACTGTCCAACGCGCTGCAGGGGACAGCTGGGACCTGAGCGGGGTGCTGGTGGAAGGGGAGCCCGTGTCGCGGGACGTGGTTGTGGCGTGGGTGGAGGTCGTCTATAACGGTGCGCCCTTACCTTGCGACCGACCCGGCGCACCGCCGCACGCCCAGCTGCCGCCCCCGTCCCCGCCGGCCCGCGGCGCTTGTTCCGCTGCGTCTGCGAGCATGATTAGCCTTTCAAGGGGCCTGCCCGTCCCAGCCTGCTGCCGTGGCACACCGACCTGCTGCGGCCCAACCGTCTGTGCGCCGCAGCCTCGCCCACCTCATACGCCGACGACGGCGCTGAGCTGGCGCCGGACGATGCCGGCCGCGGCGTCCCCGCCGCCGCGCTGCTGCTGTTCGCCGACGCCGTCGGCTCCAGCGGCCGCGTCGTGCGCGCGTGCTACGAGCGGTGCCGCGGGCAGTTTGACGCGCTGCGCGTCAAGCTCGGCAGCGAGCAGCTGCAGCTGAGCCTGGATGGGCGCGGCTACTGCTGCCTGCCCAGCGGGGACCTGATAGAGTGCACGGGTGAGGCGGGCCGGGGCGGCTTGGTCCTGCAATTGCCGCTGTTGGATTCGGGTGCTGGTGGGATGCCGAGCCGCTTGGTCACTTTGCAGGGATTTGCAGTCGTCACCAAGTGTGGCAGTCCGTCCCACCCCTTCCTCTCAGGTTCGACGGCTGTTGTTGCTCTCACAGCCATGTTCTGCTCTCGAAGAACAAGACAAAGTCTGACCCCACGAACATGATCGCACTGCGCCGCCGCTGCACCTATCTCCGCAGTGTCGCGCGACGAGGTCATCAGGCAGCTTCCCATGCCCCAGGAGGCCGCGTTCAAAGTAATTCGCCCCCAGGTGCGGCCGCTGCAGGGCCTTGTGTGCGACGACTGGAAGAGGAACGAGGCATCGCCCTGTGGCACGAGCTCCGGGCCTGCTGGCTGCCAGGCGGCAGGCGCCGAACGCACCATTGCGGCGCCAGCACCACGCCCCGGCCGTCGCCGGCGTCAGTACAGCCTCTTATCTTGGCAAAACCTGCCATGAAAGCGCTGCCTCGCCTGAAACTCAGCGACAGGCTACCAAACTCCCATGCCAAAGCGGAGGCGCCGGCGATAATCGCCCCCGCCCCGCGCCCCTTCCACCCCACCCCAAAAGGTCGCCGCCCAGCTGGAGCCGATGCTGCACCTGGCCTACCGCCTCGGCCTGGACGAGCTGCGCGCCAAGCTGCACGCCTTCATCCTCGCCAACACCATGTTCCGCTCCTCCCTGCTGACCCGCCCCCTGCTGACATCAGCCGTCTTCAGCGAGCGCGTGATGGCGGCCGTCGACCGCCGCGCGCTGCGGGACGCGTGGGTCGACTCGATTGTGTATGGCGCGGGCGACGTGGCGCGCGACGGGGGCTTGTTTGAGGTCTCGTCGATCAGCGCGGGCGGCGTCGTCGCGGCGGACGTGGCGCTGAGGCGGCCGTTCATGGGGTCGCCCGCCGGGACGCGTGTCAAGCTGGATGTTGACCTGCGGACGGGCCAGATGTGCCGCGACGATGGGGAGGTCTGCATGGTGGGCGCGGACGTGGGGAGCCCCCAGGGAGGAATTTTGGTTCGGGCGGGATTTGAAGTTTAGGGTTTTGTCGGGACCGGTTGAACGGCCTCTTGGGGCACATGCAGGGGACCGGGTGGGTCTTGGGGCGAGGGGGGCAGCAGCTGGGTCTGATTTCAATCAGGGGTTGAGGGGCAGAGAGTGTTGAGAGCAGTGGAGAAGAGGGACGGGCACTGCCTCGCTTTGCAGGTATCTTGTTGAGTCATGCTGTGCCCGCCGGTGGGCCTGCGCTCGGGAGGGAGCTGGTGCAGGCAGCGGTCCACCGCATGCAGCAGCAGAGGCAGCAGCAAGGCAAGGCTCTCAGCGTCTGGCGGATGCGACAAAAGTGATCCAACTGCAACAACTGCAAAGTTGCGCACCCAGGCGCTCCCCAGCCATCCGCAAAACACGCAGAAGCCAGGCCAATGTTCCATATGGTCTCTGCCTGACTTCATCCCCCTGCCCCGCTGGCCCCCCTCTCAGGTGTGCAAGCTCGTGGTTGGAGGAGCGTTCTGAGTGCGTCGCCGCCACAGGCCATGTTTGGCCCCTGGGCGGCCCCCTGGCTCCCCTCCTTGTGCCTGGGAGAACCCGCCTGTTGCTGCAAGCCACACAACAACAAATTGCGTCCGCACCCTCCCCCCAATATGTCTGACGGCGCATTGTGACCCGCCGTATCCTGCCTTCTGGCTGGCTTGATTCAACACCCCTTGACCTGACCTGCTGTCCAGTTGTGAGTCGTGATCCCACTTATTGAGATGTTCCTCACTGCCATTGGCCACTGCGCGCCAACGTTATGGCGCCTGCATTTTTGATATTACGATCCCTGCGCAAGTGCCCCTGCACTTGTTGGCAGTACTGCATTGCCCGGAGTGATGAGATGCTGATGTTGCAGGTATAAAGCGCTTGCCTCAGCAGCACGGATGGATTGCAAGCAGGTAAGCACGGGTCGGCTTGATTCAACGGCGCATTCAGGCCATGCGAGCTTTCGCAGCAAACTCCAAGTAAACAAAGGCGGGCTTGATGCACGTGCAGGGCAGCCACGGCTGGCTTGGTGGCCAACACCACATGGAGCCCAAGAGATCCTCTGCAGCAGATTCAAACGAAGGTAAGGTGGACTCCGGCTGGGGCCACGCTTGGTCAATGTCCAGCACGTTGACCACGCAGACCGCCAGATGCACCACATGGTGCGACCTGATGAACACTCAAGGCCCTGGGCCCATCCCAAACAGCAGGTATCCCGCGGCCCCCGAAAAGATAGGCTGGATGCAGTGCAGAAGAGGACGAAGATGTGCATGCGACGGGCGTCCGCGTCGCTGGCAAGCAATGCTCTTGGCACGGCATACGCGCGCACATGCGCAGCGCAAACACATGCTCTCTTCTCTCTCTCTCTCTCTCTCACGCGCGCACACGCACGCACCCTCACACGCACAGATGCACACACATACACAAATACACATGTACACGCATGGCCTCTGCCAAGCCCAGTCGTCAGATCACGAGCAGCGTTTCATGATGGAGCAGCTGCACCCTGCATCAGGACACCCCTATGGGGACTGCCCGACCTCATTCACTTCTTCGCATCCTACCCAAATCCCAAGCCCAAAGTTCAAAGCCTCCTGCATAAATCCCAAATCCCAAACGCCGCCGCCGCGTCTCACCGACTGACACACCAGCCATATTCAACTGAATAGCACACAGCCGACCGACTGTAGCCGATGCACGATCGACACACGCGAGCCGCGCGCCGTTGATGGCGCGCGGATCCGTCAAGTGACACATACCGCAGGTCGTGACTAACCCAGGCAGCTGCGGTACAGGTCCAGGTACGACTGGGCGGAGCGCGACCAGCTCCAGTCCTGCTGCATCGCGCGGGGCACCAGCTCCCTGCGCCACCAGTCGTGGCCGGTGTAGTAGGCGTCCAGGGCGCGGTGGACGGCCGCCTCCACGCGGTGCTCCTCGCGCCCTTGTGGCGGGTCCAGTGTTGGAGCAGTTGAGCATGCAGGGTCAGTTGGCGGAGGGGTTGAGGTACGTGTGGCCACGGCGGAAGGAAAACGGACGCTGCAAGGGCGCCGCGAGGCCGGAGGTGCGCATGCAAGGTGCAGCTTGCCTGTATGAGGAGCCGCAGGGCGGGCACGCTCGTGTGGCGCGAGGGGCGGCCCGCTGGCAGGGGAGGGCGCCTCCAGCCCTTCCCCATGAAGGGGGGGGGCGTCTTCAGGGACTGCATCCACGGGCGCACGCACGCGCGCACACACACATACACAGGCTGCACCCCTGGCAGAGGTACCCGGCTCACCGCTGAAGACGAACCCGTTGCGCTCGTGCTCAGGCACGTGGTTGTCGGCTACGTCACGCACCGTGTCCGCCAGCCCGCCAGTGTGGTTGACGATGGGGATGGTGCCTGCGGGGGCAACAGGGCGTAGGCGTTGTGCATGATGGCGCAGGAGGGGTGGCGCGCTGGCACAGCAGTGCGACCATGCGTGCACTGCGCTGTTTGTCCTCCGTGGTGCAGACGAGGCCGACAGGGGCAATGCAGGGAGCTGGCATGCTGCGGGGGTAGGCTGCCGGGCCGGGCGGCGCCCAAACAGACAGCAGAAAAGGAGGCCGCCACCGGGCGCCCCGCCCCTCACCATAGCGCAGGGCGATGAGCTGGGTGAGTCCGCAGGGCTCAAAGAATGAGGGGATCTGAGGGGGTGGGGGTGGGCGCCGCAGGGCGTTTTGCCAGTGACATGGTCGGAGGAAGGACGCTGATGAGGTGTGTGTCGAGGGGGGGACACCAGGTAGACCGATTACGCACTGGGCGGCAACATCACAAGGCGACGCGTGCATCAGGCGGAGGCCCGGTGCTGTGACGCGGCTGGTCGCGCGCAGGCCGCGGCCGGCCGGGGCGCGGTTTTGCGTCGCCTCACCACACCCACTCGCTCGGTCTAGAATTCGAACTAGAGCCCGCAAACCTGCACAACGCCGCACCCCTTGACCTTCCGCGCCTGCACCCTGCAACCAGCACGCTTACGCAGCCCCCAGCCTAGGCGGCAACGGGTATCATGCCTTCAACCGCCAACAGCACGTCCGAGCCCCCCAACATCATGCCTGCAGCCACCAGCGTCATGCCTGCACCCACCAGAATCATGTCAGCCCCGGCGTAGATCCTGTGGGCCAGGCCCTCGTCGTAGCGCAGCACCAGCCGCGCGTCGCCGCCGCGCCAGTAATCCCTCGCCATGTCCTCCCACTGCCGCTGCACCTCCGGCTCGGACGCGGTGCCCAGGACAATCACCTGGGGTGAGTAGAATGGGGGTGGGCAGGGTGGCCAGCAGGGTGGTGGCTGCTGGGTGACATATGAGACACCATTGTGCAACACATTGCACGACGCGTTGCGGGCACTGCACCGTCATGTATTCGTCATCGTGCGCGCGGCTGCAGCTGACAGCGCACGCATCAGCGCACCACTCTGCTCGAGGGTGCAAGACGCCTGCGCAGTGGCCCTGCTTGCTGCCCACCCCTGGCATCTGTCCGGGCCGCCAACCTGTGCGCCCCTTGCGATGGCCGTCTTGATGCCGTGAAGGATCAGCGGCAACCCTTTTTGCACGGTCAGCCGGGACACCACCACCAGCAGCGGCCGCCCTGTTTGCACCTTTGGCAGCTGCAGCTGCCCGCCCGACCCATTCCCGTTGCCTTCGTGCTGCTGCTGCTGGTGGTGGTGATGATGCTGCTGGCCCCAGCCATGCCGCTGCTGCTGCAGCACCCAGTCCGGCTCTGTGTATGGCAGTCCGAGCTCCTCCAACAACCGCCGCTTGCAAGTCTCCTTGCCGCTCGGCGAAGCTGCCGAGAAGCGGGCGGGCAGAAGGGGGTCGTGCTCGGGGCACCATGACTCATGGTCGATGCCATTCAGGACGCCGCTGAACTTGTAATGGTGCTGTGACAGGATGGCCTGCGAGTGAGCGTGTGTGGCAAAGCGGATTTCCCTTTCATGTTTGCTTGATCAAAAGGAATGGTGCATGAGGGGTTTAGCCATATGCAGGCCCAAGTGCGTGTCTGCGGCCTCGACTGTCACGGAGCCTGCAGCCTCATCCACTGGCGCGCCAGTCCCAGCCCCCTGCCCCTCGCCCACGCGACCACCTGCGCCCCCATGCCGTAATCGGGCGTGAAAACCTCCCGGGCATAGCTGGGGCTGACGGTGGTGGTGCGGTCGCTGAACACCACTGCGCCGCGCAGCAGGCTGCAGTCGTGCTGGCCGGGCGTGAAGCCGGGGCGGCTGTCGTCCAGCATGTGCCACGGCTGGGCCATGCGCTGGGGGTCGAGGCCGACCTGGATGTGTGGTGTGGGGGGTGGCGAAAAAAAAATGGCGGGCCAAGCAACTTTTTACGCGCATGCCTCATTGACATGTTTGACACGCCTCATTGACAATGACATCAGCGTCTTTGCACAGTGCGATACGTTGCAGATGGACAGCTGCAGGCGGAGGCGGCCGGGGTTTTTGCTAGGTGTGAGCAGCAGGGGTGCTGCAGAGACAGGATGCTCGGAATGCACAGCTTGCCTTGGCTAAGAAGGTGGGGGACATCCAGCCCTGGAAGGCCTAAGGGAGTGGGCAGGGCAACGAGGTAGGGCAGGGGTCAGCGGCAGGGGTCCACCAGTGCTGCGCCTGCATGAACAATGGCAGCGGCATCTGCGGCTGGCTGCAAGCAAAGGCAGGCGCTTGGCCAGCGAGGACGCGGCAAGGTGGCTGCCAGGTTGGATGGGGATGGCCTGCGTTCTCACGATGTTGTGGATGGTGAACACGCAGCGCGGCCGCGACAGCCCGCGGCCTCGGTACTCCTCGGCCAGCAGCGGCGCCTGCGCGCGCAGGCAGCAGGGGCAGACGCCACAACACAATGAGTGAGCTTTCTGTGGTGTTTTGCGGTGCCGTGCTTCCTTCACCGAGCTCAGTGTAGCTCGCTGCAGTTCCAAGGGGCCATCCAGGACGTGTATTCCCAGATGCATGCCGAGCAGGGGCAGCACTTGGCTGCTCACCACCGCCGCGCTCGACCAGTCATGGAGGTGTATGATGTCGGGCTGCTTGCCGCTGACGGTCAGCCACTCCAGGGCGGCGCGGGAGAAGAACATGAAGCGCTCCAGGTCGTCCGCGGCCCCGTAAAACCTGCGAGAAAGCGGCGGACCCGAGCAGTGGCGTCGGCCACATGCACCGGAGGATGGCGGTCGTTTGGAGGCGACTGCTTTGTGGCTAGTGCTGGAGGGCGCAGGCGTGCCGTTCGCATCCACCCTGACTCGGCGTGTGCCGTGTGCGCCCTGGGGTGTATGCACCAGAAGGCCAGCGGCGGGTCGGGGAGGCGCACCGTCGCCGCCAGAAGAAGCCGTTTTCTGGCTCTAGAAGGTACACAGGCAGCCTGCACAACATAGGGTGAGGGTCGTTTGAAGTTGATTTGTGAGAAATGTAAGCAGACTCCACAATGGTTGGCCGGGGCACATCAGGCAAAATGCAGGTGCGCTCCGCCTGCCAACCGCCCTTACATGCCCCGCGGCGCGACTCTCACCCCACGCAAGCTGCCCGCACCACGAAACAAATCGCTTGGACTCACCCCTCTACCACGGCGCTCCACACGCGCGTTGGCACTTTGCGGCCGTCATACGCGACGTCGATGACGCGCAGCATGCGCAGATCGCTCACGGCCGCGTAGTCACAAATGTCATACTTGGGCAGCACGACCTCACACAGGATCCCGCTGGAATCATGGATGCGGTTGGTTTGACATGTCACGGATGCGTTACGGCAGCGGGGGTTTGGCATCGACGCATGCATCATGGCAAGAAAGGGGCGGGCCCATGGGCCGGGCCGCTCAGGCGCCCCCTGGAGTGTGGCAGGGCGATCGCTTTCACCGCTCGCTTTCTTGCAACCGACAAGCACCCCAAAGGCTGGCGTGATGGCATCGCAGCCCGCCCCCGGCCCCCTCCCCGCCCTTGGCCCCGCCAACGTCCCGTTCACATGACCTCCAGGCCATGCGCGAGCATCAACGCGCCCCCACCTCTGCTGGTGCGCCTTGGCCAGCCCTGTGACCACGTCCCCCAGGCCGCCGACCTTGGCCACAGGCACCATCTCCGCCGCGATGTGCACAACGTGCAGCCCCGGGCGCCGCAGGAAGTTGAAGCGGCTGAGCAGCAGCGACGCGACCGCGTGGTCGTCAGCCACCCAACGCACCTGGGTTGAGGGGGGGTGGAAGGCGGACGTTGACGAGGCGCGAGCGCCATGTGTTGTCGAGGCGTGGCTGTGACGCACCTGTGCGTGCGCGTGCATGTGTGCGCACCCAGAAGCAGTGCATCGTTTTTGAGCGCACGCACGTTGCCCAGCTGTAACAATGCTTTGACAGCGGTGCCCCAGCCGCGCACCGAGTCGTAGGCGCGTATGAGCCCAAAGTCCTGCGCCCAGGCCTTGTTCCGCAGCACCGCAAACTGCTCCGCCGTCAGCAGGCCCGCGCTCAGCAGCGCGTCGAGGCGCAGCAGCAGGCTGCTGACCAGGGACCGCAGCGCCGCCCCCTTGTGCGCGGGCAGCACCAGGCCCTCTCGGTGCTCCAGCTCGACAGACACCTAGGGTGAGATGGATCGATTGTTTTGCTTGACTAATCGGCTTGACTAGTGTAAGGGGTAATGGAACCGATTTATGACGGTCTGCGTTTGGCAAGGCTGCACATGCAAGGGGCTCCTGAGGGACGCCACGGCAGCCTCGCTGGCAGCACGTCCGGGAGGCAAGCCAGCAGGCCCCGCCTGCAAGCCACTGCTCCGGCTGCTGGTATGTGGAGCACCCTCCCCTCCCCGCCATCCGAAACGCCGCCCTCCGCTCTCCGGCGCCCCCCTCGCCTGCCAGTTCTTGCCCGCGTTATTGTCCCACAGCACGTTGCCATGGTGAGTGCCCTTGAACACCAGCTGCACGTCCGCGTGCACTGCGTTGGCCAGCTGGCTGGCGGGGATGCTGTAAACGCCCTCCCACCGGTGTGGGTCCTCCTCTGACCGCTGCAGCTCCACATCCAGCCTTGTGTGTGATGTGTGTGTGTGTGTGTGTGTAAGCGCGCGCGTGTGCGAGTGCGTGTGTGCGGGTGGGTGGGTGGATGCGTGGGTGTGGGTGGAATGGTGCGAGAAAGGGAGGGCGTGGGTGGTCAAAACAGCAGGTTGTATGCAGGTGTGTACATACGCGAATTACGGCTGCAGGTAGGGGTGACAGAGGTGAGCCAGGGCCAGGGTGGTGCAGCAGGAGGAGACGAGTGGGCGCTGCCCCAAGGCGGTGCCGAGGGCGGCCGCCGGACGGGGTGCTGCTGCATCTTGCGAGGGGGATCGTGCGGCGATGCTAGGGGCCCGCGAGCCATAGATCGCCGCCGCACGTGCGCCGCCGCTCACGGGTAGTTCCAGCCCGAGTGGCCGGCATGCGCCCAGATGCGTTCGCACTGCTCCAGCAGGCGGCCGCGGCTGCAGTACTGCACGTGCACGTCGTAGCTGGGCTGGGAGACGGCCATGCGCACACACCCGCCGCTGCTGACCACGCCGCCCGGTGCAGGATCGCGGAGTGCAGAGATAGCTGCCGCACCAGCATGCTGCAGGGCTGTGATCCTGGTGCCCCGCAAGCGACGGAGGCTCCGGGGCCGCTGGTTAAGACGGCCATGTGGCAGCAGCGCCGGCGCGCCGCAGTATGGGCGGGTGCGCTCCGGCTGTGCCTGGAACGAGCATGGTTGCTGCGGCGCACACCCCCACATTTTTTATTTGCAAACGCGCGGCTGCTGCGCCGCTTTTTGGCCTGTTAGACTTCAACTTTCACAGTACTCTGCGCGACAGCGCCTGCCTGTTGATGACGGCCTGGGTCGGCGCAAACGGGTGAGTTTGATCGGGTCCTTGAAGCAATGAATAGCGTCGCAAGCGCGCCCTCTTACTTGAGGTTAGCACGGGGTGGACGGACAAGGGACAACACAATTTGCACAGCACGAGACGGGCCAGTGCCCGTTCTCGCCATGTTACGGCTTGAAGCGTGCACGGCTTGTGTTGTACAGCTTCCGGTGGCGGCATACGGCGATCCGCGGTGATGGGTGCCTGTGTCAACTCTCGCTGTCGATTGTGTAGGCTGACTGTGATCAATCATAGGGTAGAGTAGAGCCAGAGGACGCGAGCAAAAGTGCAAATGTAGTGGTCTTTGGCTAAACATACGGTTGGCACTGAATCGATGGCACTCACGCATGTGCCCATCACCGAAGGCCCGCTGCCAACGTGCGCGCAGGAACCACTCTAGCCCAAGCAAAGTAGCCCATTGCTGGCCACGACTGTGGGCCAAGCTTTCATGGCACTTATGTCAGGACAGCAGGCATGCCACTGATTTGACACAGGCATTCACCATTCACATAAGATATGAACCGTCGCAACATGCCCGACAATGCTTGACTGTGTCAAACTCGAACGGGCGCATCGAATTCGGTTTCAAACGGCGCGCGTCGTCGCTTTGCGTCTCCAATCCGTCTCCGTGATCAGTGCTGATACGTATGTCTGCGTCTTAAAAGCGCCTGCATGTCGGTAGGACAGGCACACTGCTAGCGGGCAGCAGATCGCCAACTCGCGGCCATGCCGCCCCGGGCAGCCACCCGCGCTGCTGAGGAGAACCCCGAAGTCCACCGTGAGGCCAAGGGGATGGTCTTGAACGGCAACAAACGCAGGCAAGGCGGTGTGGCTCTGGCGCGCTCTGCAACAACGCTGGCAGCGTGCCATGGGCCAGAAAGCCCACAGTAATTGAATATCTGATGTGCAGGGCGCTGTTAGACATCACTGGCAACTCCTTAGGCCAGGCGGCGGGGGCGCAGGGCGGCAAGGGCTGCAAGGTGCGGGCTTCGAGCGACCAGCTTGAGCAGATGAACTTCATCTGATGCAGTGATGTGACATGCGCCGATTGGTACGTGCCCCGATTGGTACCACCAGGGGTGTGGAGCATGGGCACTTGCAATATGAGCAGCAGGGCTTGTCAGACCGGGGCGCTTGCTTGGGATTGCCCACACCCCTGCGCGCATGCAATCCACCTGGTCTTCCCATGTTAGGCCGGGAGTGAGTCCAAGCAGCAGCAACAGCAGCAACAGCAGCAGCAGCAGCAGCATGCTGCAAACACAGCAGCCGTGGCCCCTGCGCCACCCCAGCCGCGCGTCACGCGCTCAAAAGCGCGCGCCCTGCAGGCCGGCCCCTGCGCGGCGGCAGCGCCCGCAGCGCGCGTGGACGCGTCCTCGGCGTCGGCCGCGGCGGCCGCCCCGGCGCGCTGCCGGTCGCCGCCGCTCCCGGACATCGATGGCAGGGACAGGGCCAGCCCCCTGGCTGTGACTGAGTATGTGAACGACATCTATCGCTACTACCGACGGGTGGAGCCGCGGTTCAGGGTGGCGGCGGACTACATGGGCAAGCAGGTGATACGCTTGGAGGACGCCTATGGGACAAGCCCGTGCAATCCAGCCGCGGCACCCAGGACTTGGCTGCAGCTTAGAACCCCTGGCAGCAAGCGAGACGACCCATTCCGTTTGGGCGCCCACGTCCTAGTGGCGTCGCAGCTCACACGGCCCCTGGATGGCTGAGCGCCGCCCCCGCCCTTGCATGACGGCACCCCTTCCCCCCGCACCCTGGTGCACGCGCGCCCCTGCCCATGTGATCGCCTAGGTGGATGTCAATGAGAAGATGCGGGCCATCCTCATAGACTGGCTGGTGGAGGTGCACCTCAAGTTCAAGGTGCAAACGGGGGCCGGCTGCGCGGCGCGTAGCAACCGCGCCGCTTTCACTGCAGCTCCTGCGTGCCTCACTCCCCAAGCGCCGCCACCCGCACCCCGCACGGCGGGCCGCCAACCTGCCCGGTCGACCCGCGCCCACCACCCCTGCCC